CCAACCACCTGCTGAAATGCCTGTAGGAAATTAAATCCGAGGTTTCATGAAAGGCTCTTAGACTTCTGTCAGACGTGTTTAAAGATACCATAGGGCCAGTTGGTGGATGTTCCCAATGAAAGAGCCAAAAGTCAGGAAAGTCTCCTGTGAGAGGTGTCTAACTGTATATTCACCCACAGAGCGCAGTGGAAAATAAGGCCGATTATCTTGTTAATGCCATAAGGGGAAAAGTATGTTCCCTGAATTTTCCTAAAATTTTCCATAAAATTTTACCTTTAGAGTAGATCACCTTAACTCTCAACTTGACTGCGACCGGGTGAATTTCCTTATTCTCAGCACCGAGAGCAGTAATATTTAACTGTCCATTCTAAGAAAAAGCATAGTGGACATTCTGAAATTGCACACAAATGCTACAGGTAGGATGCTGATAGGCTTCTGGAACAGTACTTAACACAGAGCAACCATTCACTCTCCTTTAAAGGCAGAAAAGGTCAGGAGAGTTATTGCTGTCATTAGCTCCTTAGTAGCCTCTCCACACCAAAACCAATAATCACCAGCAATAGAATCAGATCCAAATAGCCATAATATAATATAATACAAACTTTAAGCTGAAGGAAGTTTCCAAATGTAAAATCCCAATCACCTGCTAGACGTTCATCTTTTCCCTTTGATCAGGAAAAGAGGAAGGACCCTGGAGGCTCCTCCATGTACTGATGGAAGAAAAGAGTTGTGCTCTCACCCCAGTGGAAAATGCCCACTGAGATAACAATAAGTCTTTGATACTAGACAGTGATATTGATCTGGGTGCATCTGTCTCTCTTAGCAGCTGAAAATGACACCACATGTATTTGACTTCCTTTGAGTGAAACCCAGAGGCTTTGCCGGGGCCAGGGCTCAGCGGTCCAGCCCCGTTGCCCTCAGAGACTTGGAAGCCAGGTCTCTCTTGCCTCAGCAGACACACCCAGAGCCCTGTTGCCCTGCACTGTAAACAACTTGTTTACCTATTTCTCAGGGTCATTTGCTTTATTTCCATTGGCTGCTGGAGCATACACAAAATAATTTTTATAAATAAAACACTAACAAAATAAGCAATCAGAAAGAACACAACCTTGAATAAGAGCAGTTTTTCCAAAGCCTTGTCTTTCTAAAGCCTTGATCTTCAGAGTAAGTGATATTATTTATATCCTTTGTATTCATTTCCAGTCAACAGTATTATAATCATACAGAACACATTATAGCTTACAGAAAAATAAGGCCGGGCACATTGGCGCACGCCTGTAATCCAGCACTTTGGGAGTCTCAGATGGGTGAATCACCTGAGATCAGGAGTTCTAGCCCACCCTTACCAACATGGAGAAATCCAGTCTCTACTAAAAATACAAAATTAGCCAGGCATGGTGGCACATGACTGTAATCCCAGCTGCTTGGGAAGCTGAGGTAGGAGAATTGCTTGAACCCGGGTGTCGGAGGTTGCAGTGAGCTGAGATCCTGCCATTGCACTCCAGCCTGGGCAACAAGAGTGAAACTGTCTCAAAAATAAAAAACAAAAATAAATAAAATAAAATACCATCAGCTCCATTCATACACGTTCCCTTGTAGGGAACACAAATTAAACCATGTGGAAGGCACCCTGAACTTTGCAAACCCACAAGGAACCTTGAACAGGTAAAATCTTACATTAACATTTTATTTGATTGTACCTGAGAAACGTCTCTTCAGCAACATGATTGTCCTCCAGGAAATTCATGTCATTGGTAATTATTACTTTAACCCAGTGGTTTTAAAAATATTTTATAAATGTTAAATGAGTATGTTGCTTTGGATTAGAAAGTTAAAGGCTTAGGGTTGAAAATATAATTATTTTAAGAGACATCAATTTCATTCATGTTTATTTTCTCTGTTTTAATATGCAGTGCCATGTATATTTCTTTTCAGTCAAACCATAATTGGATTTATTCTGTGGTGATGATGGGAAGATAAGACTAAGGAAACAAAGAACAGCAATGAAAGTAGCACACATCTTTAAAGTCTGAATTATAGAATCAGAAAGCTAAACTGGGCCTCAGAGATCATCTTCTTTGTCAAAAATTTACATTTTGTAGACAAGGACATAAGGCACGATTTTTGGTTGAATCCCATCCCTGCAATGATATGTTCCAGTCCTAACTCCCTGTATATGTAAAATTATTAGGAAATAGAGTCTTTGAATTTGTTATTGAGGAGAGATGAGGTCATTGGGTGGGCCCTAATCCAATGACTGTTGTTTTTATAAGAGGAGGTAAAAAGGCACTCAGCTCTGAAGGTACTGACACACAGAAAGAGCACCGTGTAATGTCAGAGACAGAACTAGAGTGATGCATCCACAAGCCCAGGAATGCCGAGGCATGCTGGCCACACCAGAGGCGAAGAACAGAATCTCTCTCAGAGCCTTCAGAGAGAGCACAGCTCTGCTGTCACCTGAATTTCAGACCTCTGGCCTTCAGAACTGTGAAATAATAAATTTTAATTGTTTTAAGCAACTCAGTTGCAGTGATTTGTTCTAACATCCCTAGGGAACCAGGAATTAGGCACCTGGGAATTAGGCAATAGCAGAACAGGTAGGACTCCTTTTCCATCCACCCTGTTATGTCTCTAAGCTAGAAGCTCAAACAAGTCTCTAGAAATGCAAGTTGTTGCAGTAGGATTCCCAGAGAAAACTGTTTCTACTTTAGTTTGAGTTACCATAAAAGCAGAACTTGAGAAGTGTCTGTTCATATCCTTTGTCCAGTTTTGGATGAGGCTGTTTGCTTTTTTCCTGTGGATTCTGGATATTAGACCTTTGTCAGATGCGTAGATTGCAAAATTTTTCTTTCATTCTGTAGGTTGTCTGTTCATTCTGATGATAGTTTCTTTTGCTGTGCAGAAGCTCTTTAGTTTAGTTAGATCCCATTTGTCAATTTTGGATTTTGTTTCTGTTTCTTTTGGTGTTTTAGTCATGAAGTCTTTGCCCATGCCTATGTCCTGAATGACATTGTGTAGGTTTTCTTCTATGGTTTTTATGGTTTTGGGTTTTACATTTAAGCCTTTATCCATCTTAACCAGCAAAAAGAATGAGGCCACGTCCTTTGAAGGCACATGGATGAAGCTGGAAGCCATCATTCTCAGCAAACTAACACAGGAAGAGAAAACCAACCCCCGCCTGTTCTCACTTGTAAGTGAGAGTTGAACAGTGAGAACACATGGACTCAGGGAGAGGACCAGACAAGGGAAGCAAGAGCATTAGGACAAATAGCTAATGCATGCAGGGCTTAAAATCTAGATGACGGGTTGCTTGGTCATGGCCCCCCCATACCTATGTAACAAATCTGCACATGTTTATTTTACTTTAAGTTCTGGGATATATGTACATTTCTGCACATGTATCCTGGAACTTAATTTTTTTTTAAAAAGGCATAACTTGATTCAATGCTTTGAATAAAAGGAGTGCATGTGACAGGCAATGCATAGAGTGGGGTGAGACAGGAAAGGTGGTAGTCATTAGTGAGGCATGACTGAGCAGGTGCCTGTTGTGGGCAGCAGGGTGCAATCCTACTGGGCCTCCCGGGAGACTACATGGAACCTGCTTAGGAACTTTCCCTCTGCGGAGTATGAGCTGGGGTACTCAATTACTCTTGATGCATTAAGTTGGCCTCCCTTCTCATCTGCTCTGGGGTGTCTAGCATACTCTTTTGAAAGAGAATGTTTTCAGGCCAAAAAACAAAGAAAGCTTCAGGCATGCCTGCAAGTTCTATTCAGGGTTGGGTGAAGGTGGGCAGGATACAGACAGCGTCTGGTACAGCTTCTTTTCTGTCACCTAATTTATGTGTTAATGACAGCAACAAATGTGATCCTTTGTGAATTCCAGGGTGAGCATAAGGAGTATTAGCCAAGAAAAAACATTTAGAAATTTCAAAGGATTTTTCTAAAAAGAGAAAGTTACATAAGGAAGAATGAGAATATTCAGAAGTGACAGTATTGGTATTGGCAAAATAATATTTTAGTACAGGATAGAAATGCTTTCAATTATCCTTTCAGAAGGGTAATCGATCTTTATTATTCACAGACTCTGTATCTGCAAACTTGCCTACTGATTAAAATGTATCTGTAACATCCAAGTCAATAGTCATGGTGCTTTCAAGGTCATTCATGGTCACGTGCAGACTGGTCAAAATTTGAGTCACCAGCTGAAGTTGAACCAGGCGACATTTTGCCTTCTTGTTTCAGCTCTCATTATGTAAACAAGTGTTCTTATTTTTGGTCCATTTAGGTGCACATTGTCCACTTTTGTGATTTCTGTTGGTGATCTTGCTATTTAAAAGGCTCCCAAGCTAGTGCAAAAGTGTTATCTAATGTGTCTAAGTGCAAGAAGGCTGTGACGTGTCTGAGACAGAAAATACACCTGTTGGAGAACCTTCATTCAGGCGCCAGTTATAATACCACTGGCTTTCAGTGTTGATGAATAACCATACGTATTAAACAAGGCCCCTTTAAACAGAAACACACATAAAACAAGTCTACATGTTGATCAGCTGACGAAAATGTTGTGACCAACGCCTTGAAGGAAATGAACTCTGGCTTTCCCCTAGGAGAAATGGTTCAGTATTTGCTGATTCTGGGTTTGTGTTGATTTTATAAAACATAACTACAGCTAATAACAAGAATAATTTATACAGTGAAACTTTTGATCCATTGTTTATATATTGTAAACTCCCTTTACTTTTATATATTTTAAAGGCTCTTTCTCCACAATATGACTACAACTGGCTTTTCAGTAAAGACAATACTATCCAAAGTATCACTTTTTCCTTTTACTTTTGTTGAACCATTGAGTTTAGGTACAGCAAAAGGGTGAGAATAATTTTATTTCATTTTACTTAACCTCCCTCATCAAATCAGTGAGATGCTTGGGATTGAGAATAAATATACATGCATACATAGTATTATTCACTTTTGTTTGTAAGCACAAGGAAATATAGTTTAAATTAAAGTCATATGTTCATTCATTCCAGTTAAGACTAAAACTGGAAAAACCATAAATGAATGAAAAGCAACTGAGCAAAAATGATTGTTTGTGGAGATTATTGTATCAGAGAGCTGAACTAGTAAACTGAGGCAGGGAAGTTTAGAAAGAAGTTATTGCAGAATGTTGATGATAAAGAGAGGATTAGGAAACTTAAGACCAAGTCTGTGTTTAATTACAGATTTCAAGTCCTTTAGATATTTTAGCTCAAACCCCCAATTCCTCTCAAGGCAAAGTATTGGCGTTTACTGTTCTTGATGGTTGATTTTAGCAATTCTTCAAAGAAAATGTGCGGGTTCCCAGCAAGTTGGAATTCATGTGTGTTCCACAATCCTTGTCATGTTTTCCCAATGATGACTCGAACCACATGCTTTTTAAATTCCATCTGGTTAGAGAAATTAACAGCAGAGACTTTCTCCATTATTTCAGTTCCCCAACTTGGGAAAAACAGAGCATTATTGTTCAGAAGAGTGAGTTTTCTAATTGACTTACCAAGGAGAATATTCATATTGTTTAACAAGTTCTCAAAATGCATGAGAAGCTTGAGATTTTTGAGATTCAGACTCAGCCAGCCGTTCTCATTTTTGTTCTTGTTTTTGTTGTCTTCTCCAAAATGTTCATAAAAACTTCCTGTCTAGAAGGCACGTTTGTGTGGGATTCCAGATTGCTTGGGTGGCTGTGGTAAGAACTGAATGTGAGCTTTAAAGTATGCCTATGCAATCAGAAGAATGCAGTCTTTGTTCAATGCTTCCCTCTGTAAAGCAAAACGTTCCCTGTCCCAGGAAAAGGAAGCCCTCGTTAGCTACATAATATCCTTTTTTCTGCCTCCAAAAGCTCATTACACCTGACTCTGCTCCTCACTCCCTGCAGGTCTTCCCCAACCCCTGGCCTAAGCAACCCCAATGCGAACTCCTGTAGGTTGGGGACAAGATACGTGGAGACAAACAGGGCAGTGCCTCAGTTGGCTGAAGGTTCCATTCACTGCTAAAAATTATAGGTCAGGTATGGTGGCTCACACCTATAATCTCAACACTTGGGGATGCCAAGGCTGGTTGATCACAAGGTCAAGAGATCAAGACCGCCCTGGCCAACATGGTGAAATCCTGTCCTACTAAAAATACAAAAATTAGTTGGGCATGGTGGCACATGCCTGTAGTCCCAGCTTCTCCAGAGGCTGAGGCAGGAGAATCACTTGCACCCAGGAGGCAAAGGTTGCAGTGAGCCGAGATCACACCACTGCACTCCAGCCTGGTGACACAGCAAGATTTAGTCATAAAAAATTAAAATAAATAAATAAATAAATAAACAAACAAATATTGTAGGTCATTGCCAGGGACTGCAGAGTAGAGCTGTGAAAAATGAACATCTTTTCGTGTCTCTGGGAAGAAAAGAAAAAGAGGGGAGTAGACGATTGTTAACAAAACATGACTAAAAGTGGAGAGCTGATGAATAAATCCATTAGAATGGAGAAAATACAAGAAGGGTAACAAGACAGAGAAGAACTGCAAGAGAGGTTGAAGCGTTGGCTGGAGAGCCAGACAGCCAGGCCCAACACTGTTCCATTTAAGCAAGTCATGTGGCCTCAGCATCCCTGCAGTGGAGGAAACCATGACAGTACCTGTCTCACTGGACAGCTGGGAGGACTGGGTAGATGATGCTGGAAGTACCTATCTCCAGAGTCCTGCTGCAGACCCTGGAATGCACCCATTTCTTATCTGGGCAGTAACTGAGAGGGACACCCCTCTCTGCTGGAGCGAACATGTGGGATGTCACATTCCAAAGGTATGTTAGAAACCCCCAGGCGATTTAAGGGAGCAGTGACTCATATACTGAAGGGAAACAAAACTGTGGCACTGGGAAGTGAGACGCAGAATGCATAGCCTAATAATGAGGCAAGACCTTAGACCACACGTATGTTATATAGTGCGAAGGCATAAACCTAGACCAATGGGTGGCAATTCCCGGCAGATAGACTCTAGCTAGAGAGAAAAAACAAAGTAAAAACAAGTAAGTACACCTACAGCAAGGATTTGGGGCTAAACTCAACTCTCTACATGTGGAAATGATCTGTTATCCGAGCTAGTGAATTCGTGATTCAGGGATTAAGATAAACAGTTTAAATAATTAGCAAGGAAGACGTAGCAGCAATCAAAGCCTTGGATATAGCTTGGAGTATTATTTCCTTGGAGCAAACATTGGCATAAAATAGACCTGAGACATTTTCCCTTTTGATGGAAGCTTGACCTGGGCCTCCGAGGTGCCTGCGGCCAATTGCAGGGTCTGGTCCATGTGAGGATTTGTGTTGTTAAAGCAAACTGAATATGGCCTGAGAAGGACTCTTACCTCTGTATTTGAGTCCTTGTGGATGAACCATTGCCTAGCTTAATAGGCAGACAAGATTGAAAACCTAACTTAATAGTACACACCTGTAACAACAGCTGAGTGTTGACCAATCCCAGTGGCCATACTTCAATCACTCATAGACAGCTGAGTGTTCAGTGTTCAAATAAGGCAGATGTCCATGCCAAGCTGGAGCCAAACTCACTGTTTCTGTACCTCACTGCCGATTCCTGTACATCACTTTACCTTTTTTGCTTATGAATTTGTTCTGACCACAAGGCACTCCTGGTGTCTCTCTGCTTCTGTTGTGATTCTGGAGGCTGCCTCATTCGTGAATCATGTCTTTGTTTTTTTTCCAATTAAACTCCATCTAATTTAACTTGTCTGAAGTTTTCTTTTTTCTTTTCTCTTTTCGTGTGTGTGTGTGTGTGTGTGTGTGTGTGTGGTTTTGTTTTTTTGTGTTTGTTTGTTTGTTTGTTTGTTTTGAGTTAGTTTCACTCTGTCGCTCAGGCTGGAGGGCAGTGGTGCGATCTTGACTCACTGCAACCTCCGCCTCCCAGGTTCAAGCAGCTCTCCTACCTCAGCCTCCCAAGTAGCTGGGACTACAGGTGTCCATGACCATGCCTGGCTAAATTTTTGTATTTTTAGTAGAAATGGGTTTTCACGATGTTGGTCAGGCTGGTGTCGAACTTCTGACCTCAGGTGATCCACCCGCTTCAGCCTCCCAAATTGCCGGGATTACAGGCATGAGCCACCATGCCCAGCCTTTGAAGTTTTCTAATAGTCTGCGATGCCTCTGCTGTGCTAACACCATGCACATCATCAAGGCAGGATGAAAAGACACCATGTCCCTCTCCTCACGAAGTAAACATTTATAAAGGTTCCTTTGTGGCCTCATAGTAAGTTTTAAAACTTCTGCGGGGAGTAGATCATCTAAATCAACAGCATTCCTTCAGTTCCTGGGGGTGTTTAATGACATAATACAGGAAGATCGGATTATCTTCCTGATGCGGACACCCACAAACCCAAGGCAGCCTGAACTATTCAGGACATAGGAGGTGGGGGCCACATGGTCTCATTGGGGTGAGCAATTGCTACGAGTTGGCCAAGTTCCCAGGAGGCTGGGAACCACACAGGGTATGATGGTGGTCAGCAACTCCTGCACTCTCTTCACTGCTCTGATTCCTGTAACTGCTGTCAGTGTGCAGATAGCAGGCACCACGTTGGTCAAGGACCAGAATGGGCTCTGCTGATATATGTGGCCTTCTGCTCTCCCTGGCTCAGCCTCCCTGGGCCACATCTCCTCAAAATGGTGCCTTGGTTTTTACTTGGAATCCTAAGGTATGTCACAGGGGATTTTATAGAAACCAAAGTTCTACTAATTTGTCCTTTTCTTTTTCCTGGCTCTAAGCATTGTCTCTGTTATAGATGATTTCTAAGAATGTGCCAGTGAGACTGAAAATGCACACACTATATGTTAAGGGAAATAACCCTGTTGTAAAATTGGAAGTTGTACGTACAGTGTAGGGACAATTGAGTGAAAAATAACTACTGCACACAGATTAGATAGCATAATACCAGACACGTAGGGTTTAATAAAGACCAACTCTTATGATCTTACCATTTTCTAGCTACAAACATTGTTCTGTATTTGAACATGCTGTCACTGCTATTCATTCTGGCTGAGACGCGGTTCACTTCCATCGCCTGCACTTACGATGATGCCAGTGCCTCACCCATAGAGTGTTACACTTTTCTCGCTGGCCCCACAAGGTGAGATGAGAGGCTCAGCCTGGGATAAACTGGGCGCATAGTGGAAAGCAGTGTGCATTAAAGGCCAGCAGTGGATGAACGCTTGTGTCTTACCTTCCCCATGGCATTGCAGTTTTAAGAGTAAGACATGCTGTAAGCGGCACTTCTTCAAATCATAAGGAGCAACGATGTTACAGAAAAATTCATCAGCTTGGTGGAAGGACAAGAGAGTTCATACTGTTACAGGAAACATATATTTTTTCTCGTCTGGAGCCTTAATAAATACAAATTTAAAAGACACAGTATCTGTTTGAAAATTAAATCGCTTTGGTGGAATACTACTCAGCAATGACAGGGAATGAATGATTGTTTGCCACTGAAACATAAATGCATCTTAAAATAATTATGTGAGGAAAAAGGAGCCAGGCAAAAGTGACCACGCATGACCTTATTCCGTTGATACATAATTCTAGAACATGCAAAGTAATCTGTAGTGACAGGAGGCTGAACAGTAGTTGCCTGGGGAGGGGCTTGAGCAGAGGCAGAGCAAGAGAGATTACAAAGGGGTGGGAGGAACAGCTGGCAGACTGGGTTATGCATTTCCTTAAGTGCAGAGGGGCTTATGGGTATGCACTCATGCCAAAGTTTATTCAGTTGCTTATCCTAGTTATGTACCGTTTATTATATGTAATTCCTATTTCCATCAACCTGGTAAAAAGTAAATCTACTTTTTAATAGATGGATTGGGTGTTGATAGACAACCATGGTTTGAATATTTCTCCAAATATTCCAAATATTTTGCCAAATTGGTTTCACAGATGGTTAGTTACCCCCAAACTCAGAGAGTTGTAAATATTAAATACGTACAGCTTCCCACGTTAATCAAACCTTGATGAAGTGGTTTAAACATCGTTTACCAAACCTAAAATCCTGCTGAGACTCTTTCCTATCACCTCATTTTCAGGTCAGGGTGACATTTCTCCTGCTTCTCCCTGTGCCCTTTCATGGCTTCCACGTTACTGAACCAGTTTTTCTTCACTGATGTTACAAATGCTTAATTCAGGATTCAGTGATATGTCCTCAAGCTTACTCAGTATTTCAGGTACTTTTCATAAGTGTGAAGTGGGATAAAATGATAGACTATTTTCCAAGTTTTCTCATGGAGTCTAATTTCCTTCTTTTTGGTTTCTCAAATAGAGGCTTAATTATAGCATATAGTTAAATTTATAACACATTCCTGTAATAAACACTCAAGTGCCTACTTTCAAGAAAGAGAAGGAAGATGATGTTCTTAGCAACTTACTAAGCCAGGAGCTTCACATGTGGCCCCCAAACCAGATCTCCTATGTCAAAGGCACTTGAGTCAGAGAGATTCTCTCAGATGTTGACTGAATGCTGCCAGCGTTGGGTGCTGTAATGGGAATGGATCAGGGAAAATCGTCCTCTTGGAGGGGGATTAAGGTGTTGTGAGGCACTCAGCAGACCCAGTGTGGCTTTCAGACCCCATGCACGGCTTGTGCACAGCTTCCTGTCTGCAGGGATCTGATGAAAACTTTGGCGGCATTGGCCCCACCAAAAGGGCCACTGACTGAGGAAGACCCAGCCCACTGCCTTCCCACTCCACAGGGCAAGAGACAGCTTTGGACAGCCTTG